CCTGTCATAAACTCTAACCGAAATGCGAAATTCCGTGTCGATAGGTCTTTAATTGCGACTGGTAGGTGATTGCAGAATCACAAAATTTTCCAAATTTCGGTCCACTTCAAGCTCTTGATATTTTGCAATCTTATTTAATAACAATAGACTTCCATCCTGGCCAAACCCCAAAAACTAAGAAAAAATTCGTGAAGATCAGTTGATAATTGCGACCTGTATGTACTACTCAAACTGTAAAAAATATTAGAAATATTGTAACTCGAATTGAAAAATGTCATGTAATTAAAAAATGTGACAAAAAAAAAAAATAAGTAAGAAAGCTGTTAGTTCGGCCGGGTCGAACTTTGAATACCCTCCACCATTTGGTACAAATTTGGCAATTTTCAAAAAAATAAAATTCATTAAAAGTTCTGTTAAAATCTTTAAAATACCGAATGTAGCCATATATCAGGGTCTATACGACGACGTGGACCTACATACGCAACTTTTGTAATAACAATTTTCTGTCAGAGGCCGTAGTATCCATTACGAACTTCAAATGTGAAATTTGAAAACAATTCCGGTGAATAATGTCGCTGAAATCGTCAAAATACCAAATATCAGGAGGTACCGTTATATGGGGCTATACGAAGACATGGACCTGCACAGACAATTTTCTGTCATAGGCTGTAGTATTCATTACGAACTTAAAATACTAGATTTGAAATAGTTCCGGTAAAAAATGACGCTAAAATCATCAAAATATCGCATATCGGAGGGTACCGTTATATGGGGGCTATACGAAGACGTGCACCTGCACAGACAATTTTCTGTCATAGGCTGTAGTTTTCATTACGGACTTCAAATACCAAATTTGAAACAATTCCGGTAAATAATGTCGCTAAAACCATCAAAATACCGAATATCGGGAGGTACCGTTATATGGGGGCTATACGAAGACGTGGACCCACATGGCCCATTTTCTGTTTTATGCTGTAGTATCTGTTAACCTTAAATATTAATTTTAAATAATGTCGCTAAAATCATCAAAATATCGCATATCGGGAGGTACCGTTATATGGGGTATATAATAAAACGTGGACCTACATGCCCAATTTTTAATACCAAAAGTCCTGCAGACATAATATACACCTGAGTAAAATTTTAATATTAAGCTATATTCAATTCGTTCGGAAGCTAGAGTGATTTCCACTGACGGACAAGGCTAAATCGTCTTAGAATTTTACGCTGTTCAAGAATATATGTACATTGTTGGGTCTAAAATGATTATTTCGATGAGGTACAAACGGAATGATGAACTTGATATACCCTCCATACTATGTATGGTGGAGGGTATAAAAAATCAATTTTTTATTGGCATATTTTTACGCGATATCGGCCTATAATTGTAGATCAACATCAAAATCAGAAAATTTTTCTGTTTTCGGTCCATCAAATATTTTTCGATCATCCCCCCAACAATAAGATTCGTTTTTGACCTTAACCCTACTTCCATACAAAATTTCGTGAGAATCGGGCCATAGTTGCGACCGGTAGTGTGATTACAAATTAACATAAACAGACGAACGGGCGGACACGCGATAAGGGAAGATCTATATTAGAAACTCTATGGCTAATTCGAACTTACTTCCCGAACTTTTAATACCCTCCGCCATTGGGTAAAGAAAACATTTTTATATAAAAGAAGCAAGCAAAGGCAATAGCCGTGCGGGGCCGACCATGTGATACCCTACAACACTACAATAGGTTAGAAGACCCCTTATGTCCACATCCATTTGGGAAGATTTCGCTTTTGAAATGATGTCAAAGAGCACTGCCCAGATGTTACCCTTAGCATTTTGACTAGGGACATTTGCCCAATATTTACGCACTTAGTTTGGTGTTTGTTTAGGGGTCCATTTTACAGCTAAATATAATCCAATTATCATCCAAAATGCTGGAATTGTTCCCTGTCCTTAACTATCTTCTCAGGCGTGTTGATTTGCTTCAATTGTGTGATCTGGAATTTTTTCTGTTTTTGGTTCATTTGAACCCCTAAATATTTGTCGATCATCTCCAAAAGCAAGAGGCGCCTCTGTATGTTTAGCTATATTCGTCAACGAAATCAGCTTTAAAGGACAGAAGTTCGACTTTTTGTGTATTTTGGATATTTTCAGCTTTTCGGTAGAATGGAAATGTTGGTATTTTTCATGCAAAAGTAGTTTTCCATTATATGCGCTGTCATAAGCTCTATCTTCATGTGAGATTTCGTGTTCTTTTGGTTTCTATTTGTGACCTTTGTAACGGCTGTTGGTCCATTTCAAACCTTAAATATGTTGAGGATATCAATACAACATCAACTTAAACAATAGGCCTAGCCCTTCTGAGCATAACCCTACCCTTTCGTGGGGATCGGACGATAATTGCAATATGTATATAATATCCCCAACCTGTGGTGTAAGGTGAAAAAATATTACAAAATGCATACTTCAAAAAATTAAAAAATCGCATGCGATAAAAAATATGAAAAAATAAAAAATGTCAAAATAATACAAAATATTTATCAACATCATTATTGGCATCTTTTTATGCAATTTTTTTGATTTTATTCTTTTATGCCAAAGGGCATTCTGAATTTACAAAATTTGTCAAAATACGTCCAGCCATTCTTGAGATATAAGCATTCTAACTAACATCCCCTTCCTTTGTATATACACATGTATATATTTCGCTATATATAACCTATATATTTACTATCGGCATCTACGTAACGGTCAGAATTGACCTGTTCGTCTATTTGTGAATTCACCAGGATTAAAAATATTCGCGGTTTAATGGAAAATTTGACTTTCATTTAACAGCCCCATGCTAACTTCCGCTTTGATTGGTCTATAATTGCGACCTGTAGAGCAACTGTAAAATATTGTGCGATCATTTCCAAAAAATTGGGTTCTATTTTGACCCTAGCCCCAGCTCTATTCTAAATTTCGTAAAGATCGGGCCATAATTGCGACCTGTAGAGTGATTACAAATTAACATGGACAGACGAACAGACGGACATACATAGCTAGATCGACTCAGCTCGGCGAGATAGGAAGATCCATATATGTGGGAAACCAATATTTCGAGGTGTTACATAATTTTTGGTGTTACATAGTGTTGTAGGGTATAAATATCTGAATTCAAACGTGTTCCACTTTAAACTACAAATAACAGTAGGACCTTTTGGATAAAGTTGCTAAACTTTTCAAAAAACCATAATGTGGGTTAGGGCGTTATATGGGGCCATACCAAAACGAGAACCTCTGTAATTTTATACTTCAAAGATTGTCATCTACCAAATCTTCCAAAATACTAAATTTGAGACAATTTCATGAATAAATGTGACTAGTATTATCAAAATTCCGAATATCGGTCGATATCGTTATATGTGCGCTATAGGAAAACGTGGATTAAATATTCAATATTCTACTAGAATCCATTATGAACTACAAATGCCATTTTTAGACAAATCCGTAGAAAAATGTGTGCAAAAATCTTCAAAAAAGCGAATATCGGAAGGAACCATTATGTGACGGCTATGTCAAAACGTGGACCGATATATCTCATTTTCAATACCAACCATCCTAGACACAATGCAAATTGTTCTCCCAAATTTTGTGGGCTGTATCGTGCTTTACCACAGTCTGCGACGAATATTTGGGGATGTTATAAACGGAATGAAAATGAAAGTTGATATACCCTCCCTTTCAAGGCGAGATTTACAAAAATGGTGTAAAATTGTATAGTAACTCATCATTATGAATGTCCACACATATCTGTGCGAAGTAATGTGTCGAAAACATTTTTCCAAGGTGCTTCAAAGCAGTACTCAATACTTTTTACCGAATATCTTTATTATAAAGTGCATACTTCCTATGTAGGTGTTCTTTTTACTTTTAATGAGATCAAAATAAACATTTTTAGCTAAATCAACCATTTGGGCAAAAAAAAATCCTGAAATCGGATTTAGGATATATGGGAGATCTTAGTCGTTCTTGATAAAATTTGGCAAAGGTATTTCCGAGCTCTATAAGATATCTTTTTACAAAGATCATTGATCATAAATCGAGGGGTTTGAAATCCCAAATCGGATAAAACATATATATGGGAGCTATAGCTATATCTGAACCGATTTACACCAAATTTGATGTACTGGTTTCTAGGATTCAGTCATTATTCAGTACATTTGGGCTGATATAAGTCATTTGGTGCACAATCAACCTAATATCGGATAAATATATATATGGGTCCAAATCTGAACCGATCTCGATAAAATTTTATAAATGTATTTTCGAGCAGTATCTGATAACAGGTACCAAACATCATTATTGTCAAATCGGTTGAGGATATATATGGGAGCTATATCAAAATCTGAACAGATCTTGAAAAAATTTGATGCACTTATTTCAGAGCAGAGTCTGATATTTGGTACCAATGCATATAACACATCCGGAACCACAAACCGGATAAAAGATATATATTGGGAGCTATAGCCTTATCTGGACCGATTTACTCTAAATTTGATTTACTTGATATTGGCCATTTGGTGCACAGTTTACCCGAAATCGATTAATTATATATGAGAGCTATATCTAATTCTGATCCCATTATCACCAATTTCAATAGGGTTCGTCCTTGGGACAAACCAACATTGCTTGGAAAATTTCATCTCAATCGGATAATAAACGCGACCTGCATTTTGTTTACAATCAATACAAGGACAGATGGACTAACGGACTGACATGCATAAATTGGCTCAGAAAGTGATTCTATAAAATCCTCAAAAGTAACTATCTCGCTTCCTTCTCCATGTTACAAACAAATGTACAAAGACATAATACCCTTACCACCATGTGGTGTAGGGTATTAGACTTGCATATACAGGCCCACGTCTTCGAATAGTCGCCATATAACGGCACCTCCCAATATTATATACCGAAATTTTTACGTTTGAACAAAAACAGGCCTAGATTTTTAAATCATTTCAAAACCTCAAAAAATCCAAATTCATTTCATTTTCGAAAACATTGTTCGAATCAATTACTCAAAATTCAAAATTTTCTAATAAAAATAAATTTCCTCTAAAATCACCACAAAGAAATGGCCAAAAAGGGAGGTGGAAAAGGTGGCAAAGATAAAGGCAAAAAGGGCAAGCCAGCACCGCCACCACCAGCTGTGGAGAAACCCATTGAAAAGGTGGAAGAACCCAAACCCGAAGAACCAAAGAAAGAGGAACCCAAAAAACTTGATGTCGAAGAGCCGTGCGTTTTCAATTGTGCTCAAGACACGGTTACCTATCGACCGAATTCTTATCCTGGTCTTCTGGAACATCCCAGGACCATGGCTGTTGTCGGTTCCGAATGTGGTTCATACGACAGTCTGTGCAAGCTGATACACGCCGCATTTCGCTGTGCCGATCGTGTCTACATTATGGTCCCTTGGGGTAATTATGTCATATTCCGTTGGCACGATGGTTCGAAAATGATTTATTTCGTTTTCGATGGCTGCACCTGCAATGTGAATCGTTTCCGTTATTTGGATTTGTCATGCGGCACCTGCGGTCTGCTGTACTTCGAAGAGATGCACAAAGTAATCAATTATGTAATAATGTCAAGACAACGGCGGGAGGAAATTAAACGACTGAAACGCTGCATTGTCGATGACGTGTGCAAGGAGATGTACGGAGATCAACATATTTGAAAAAATATGAATCAATAACATTTGGCATTTAAATATTTGGAATGGTATCAGAAAAAACGTGAATGATGACTTTGGAATTCAATAAATATTTGAGAGGAAAAACAAAAGCTAAATATTTTGTATTTCTAAAAGGGCCTTTTCCCCAAATTACGGAATGGTTGGTATATATTAGAAAGAGGCATTTGCAGTTATCTCGGGCTCCTTATATGAAATAAAAATATGACAAGGTCTTGGGTCATGTGGCCTATCCAATGTGGGTTGGTAGAGTGAATATTTTTGTGTAAATTACGGATTTTTTAAGAAGAGGCATTTGGATCTAGCTCGGTCTCCTTATTCGAAAATATGACAAGGTATTGGGTCATGTGGCCTATCCAATGTGGGTTTGTAGAGTGAATATTTTTGTGGAAAGAGGAACATTGAAAAATGATTTCGGTGCATAGGTTTGTGAAGTGGTAAACATCAGTTTAGTGCAGAAAATCTCCAAAAGGGTAAAGCAAGCTCCCATATATCTTCAAACGATTTCGGGTTAATTGTGCACCAAATGGCCAATATAAGTCCAAATAACCTACATTTTAGCACATCCAACCAAATTCGGCCTAGAAGCAAGTGCATCAAATTTAGTGAAAATCGGTTCAGATATAGCTGTAGCTCCCACGTATATGTTTCATCCGATATGGTGTTTAAGTCCCTCACATTCGTAATATGCATTCGACAACAATGACATTTGGTACCAGATATTTATAGAGCTAGGCAATACCTCTGCTAAATTTTATCAATATCGGTTCAGACTTGGTTATAGCTTCCACATATATCTTCAACCGATTTCGGGTTAATTGTGCACAAAATGGCGATTATCTGCCCAAAAGTCCTGAATTGTGGTACATCCGGCCGAATTCGGTCTAGAAGCAGGAACATCAAACTTGGAGAAAATCGTTTCAGATATAGCTATAGTTCCCATATACATGTTTCATCCGATTTGGCGTTTGTCCCCCAAATTCGTAATATCCATTCGACAACAATGATATTTGGTACCAGGTATCTTATAGAGCTCTTTGGATATAGCTCCTAACTATCCTTAATCCGATGTTCATTGGTAGTATGATCACGAATTATGGCTTTCAAACCGACACAATAGTCCAACGGATTGGTATCCGGAGATTTTCGTGGTCATTGTGCGCTAGAAATGAAGCGAGGAATCTCATTTGGGTTGCGCGTGCTGAGTGCGATGGTGCTGAGTCCTGTTGGAATGTTCGAGATCTGCGGCCAAAATTTTTGCATGTCCAAGGCTATAATACACCCTCCAGAATATTTTCGCGATAATATTCGGCAATAATGATGCCACGGTCGATTACTACGAGCGGAGAGCGACCATCGGCTGTTATGGCGGCGCTCACCGTCACCATCGCTGGCGATTGAGTTCTGGTGTCCAACCAAAGGTGCACATTTTCAACTGACCTCCTTGGCAAGTAAACACGATCATTTTGTTTGTTTACAAACTGCTCGACAACGAAGCAACTTTAGCTCTTTTGAGTCTATTTTCTTTCCGTTGCGGTGTAAGTTCTTGCTCTTTTTGGAATTTCACTGGAATAATTTTAACAGCTGCCGGACGAGTGTCTTAGAAATGACAACAGGCTGTTATTGGTTGCAATTTTGTCATCTAACCCTGAAAAGTCTTTTGTTACGGGAGCTCTACTAAATTCACATAGTGGTGTAGGTTATCATATGGTCGGCTCCGGCCTTGTGTTAGTAGAAAAATTGGATATGTGAAGCTTAAAATAAATTGTATGTAGGAGAACTGGATGCTCATTTCGCGTCTTATGATCGGTTTGGTCATTGGAAATGTCCATAACTATTCAAAATTTTTAACCGGTGTTAGGGAGATACCAAAAGGAGCAGGCCAATATCTATCATCTTCAAAACAGATCTTGTGTTGATTGAAATATGGGGATGTCACGAATTTCAAAGGAATCGGATGCTAACTTCGCGTTTTACGAGCTTAATGACAAATCAAAAATATGAGGAGAGATACCAGAAGTAGTGGACCGATATCGTGTCTTGCATATTCAAAAATATTAGGATGTGTGGAATTTGAACACAATCGGACTTAAATTTCATATTTTATTTTAGTTGTTATTATTCGAAATTTTGACCCTTTGTGTGGTAGGTACTTGATGGAGTGAGCCGATATTGTCTATTTTCGCACATGACATAGCACCGGCAAAAAAATTGGGATCTGCAAAGTTTGCACAATATCGAATGATTCTTTTTCTATTAGATAAAGTATTTTCTTTGAATATGTTGATCTTTTGTGGGGGAGGTACCAGACACAATTGCAGAACACAAATTCCAAAACAATCTCCATATTTTAACCACGGCCCAGCACTATTCCTTCAACCATACTAAATTTACTACTAATTTTCTTTACTACTTTTTGTACAATTTTGTACACCTTTCCAAAACCACCTACATATTTCAATTCCAGATATAAACAGAGGTATCAGTTTCAAATTTGAGATTTCATTTAGTACTTTTCGAACAAATATAGTAAGTATTTACAAAATCACCTCCATATCGCAAACACAGACAATCAGTAATCTAAATATTAAATTTAATAGTTTTATCTCTATCCATTTATCCATACCAAATTTAATACCATTTAGTACTTTTTGTACAATAACAGTACACATTTCCTAACCACCTTCATATCTTAACCAAAGATATCAACATTTATATCAATTTCCAGAATTGTATCCCTATCCTTTCACACAATACCAAATTTGGTACTATTTAGTACTTTTCGTACAATTGTAGTACACATTTCGAAAATTAATTCCATTCCTCTATTCTAGATATTAACAGAGACCTCACCAGCCATATTTCAGGATCCCAGCCACATCTCTTCCCCAAATACCAAATTTAGAACCCTTTAGTACTTTTCGTACAAATATAGGACACATTTCCAAGTCCCCGCCAAATCTCACACACACATACCCCCAGTAATCGAAATATCAAATTTCAGAACTTTATTCTATCTCTTCACCTGACAACAAAAATCGTACCATTCACCCATACCAAATCTAGTACCATTTAGTACTTTTCGAACAATTCGAGCATTTTCAAAACTACCACGAGATTTCAAACACAGATACCAGCAGAAATCCAAATATTCAATTTCAGAATTTTATGTCTATACCTTCACCCAATATCAAATTTTGTACCACTAAGTTTTTCACTTCACTTTTCGAACAATTATAGTATACATTTTCAAAACCAAAACCATATCTCAATTCTAGATATCAACAGAGACCTTAATACCAAATTTGCAAATTTCAGCCCTATTGCTTCACCAAATGCCAAAATTAGTACCATTTAGTACTTTCGTTCAAATATAGGTCGCACTTCCAAACCACTGCCAAATCTGAAACACAAATACCATTGGTAATGTAAATATTAATTTCCAGAATTTGAATATTCCTTCCCCCAATACCAAATTTAGTAATATTTTGTACTTTTCGTATAATTATAGTACACATTTTCAAAACAACCTCCATATGTCAACTCCAGATGTAAACAAAGTCCTCACTATCAAATTTGAGGATTTCAGCTCTCTCCCTTCACCCAATACCAAAATTAGTACTATTTAGTACTTTTCGTACAATTATAATACACATTTCCAAATCCACCTCCATATCTCAATTCCAGATATCAACATGGGGAATTTAATCATACACGCTATGATTATAATTGTAATTTAAATTTCAAAGGACTAAATATGCCGAAGCATTTGTATCTTTTAAATTCGAACTTGTATTGCCCATTTGGCGCAAAAATTAATTTGAAATCAGATAAACATATATATGGGAGCTATATCCAAATCTGAACTGATCTCGATAAAATTTGGCAAAGATATTTCTGGGCTGTATTTGATATATTTCCCTGAATATCGTTGTTACGGAGTGCATATTACGGCTGCGGAGGACAAAAAAAAACCAGTAAGGAAAGCTCAAAAGTCGGGCAGGGCCGACTATATGATACCCTACACCACTATGCATATTAAGTAGAGCTCTCGTAAAAAGGTTTATACAGGGCATTTCAGAGCTCTATGAGATATTTGGTACAAAATCAAAATCTATATAATTCTAACGTGCATTTTAAGAACTATAGCTATCTCTGAACCGGGTTTCTCCAAATTTGACGTATTAGCTTCTAGACTGAATTCGGTCTTATGTACGAAAATTCAGGTGATTTGGGCTGATATTGACCATTTAGTGCACATTTAACCCGAAATCGGATGAAGATATATATGGGAGCTATATCCAAATCTGAACCGATTTCTATAAAATTTAAAACGGCTATTCCTGTGTTCCATCTAATACCTGGTACCAAATATCACGGTTGTGGAGTGAATATTACGAATGTATGGGACTAAAACACTAAATCGGATGAAACATATATATGGTTGCTATATCTATATCTGAATCGATTTTCACAAAATTTAATATACTTGGTCATTTGGTGGTCAATTAACCCGAAATCGGATGATGATATATATGGGAGCTATATCCAAATCTGAACCGATTTCGATAAAATTTAAAACAGCTATTTCTGTGCTCCATCTAATACCTGGTACCAAATATCACGGTTGTGGAGTGCATAGTAGGAATGTGAGGGACTTAAAGATCAAATCGGATGAAAGATATATATGGGAGCTATAGCTATATTTGAACCGATTTTCTCCAAATTTGATATACTTGCTTCTAGACCGAACTCGGTTGGGTGTGCCAAAATTCAGGTAATTTGGACTGATAGTGGACATTTGGTGCACATTTAACCCGAAATCGGATGAAGATATATATGGGAGCTATATCTAAATTTGATCCGATTCTCACCAATTTCAATAGGGTTCGTCCTTGGGCCAAAAAAATATTGTTTGGAAAATTTCATCTCGATCGGATAATAAATGCGACCTGCATTTTGTTCACAAGAATACATGGACAGAAGGACGGAAGGACGGACGGACGGACAGACGGACT